TTCTTTCATCTTGGTAATGTAATGCAGGCTTTAAAAAAAAAAAAAAAAAATCACCAGAAAAAAATGGCATGCATAGCTAACCAATCTGACATTTTCAGCCAATTCCTTAATGCAAAGTTTATGGTAAAAATTCAAAACTCTTCACCCTCTTTGAAACTGTTTCTGTTGTATTTTCATCCTCACTGCATTCCTTTGTGTGGAATTTTCCTGGAAACGATGACACAGTCTTATTTAGCACTTGCTCCACGGGGCAGGTTCACAACATGAGGGATTGGGCTGCCCCTCAGAGGATGCAACACAATCAATCTTACTCATCTACATTGAGAGCTCATTATCTAGTTATCAATGAGAGGTCCAGACAGATTCATTTTATGTGACTAATCGGTGGGACTGACTTTAAGCCTCTGTCCTGCTAAAGAGACTAAAGTGCCAAAATACGCAATGGTATTTTTTTTAAGGGAAAGAAACAAATTATTGTCCTCTGCCTTATTAGTTTAACGTTATAAGAAAGAAGTATACTGGAGTAAAGGAAAAACAAAGCCCACAGTTTTGGTGTTTCTCTGTATTCAGTCTGGGTTCTTACAGGGTGGTTACATCACCACAGAGTCACAATGGCATAAAAATGCATGAATGAACAAAGTAAAGACATTGTCTCTTCCTTCACTCTGGCAGTACATCCTTCTGAGTCCTAAAATAAAGAGTGATTTCCAGAAGCTCCTTTCACTTGATGACCTCTTTGCACAACTGTTGACCTATTTCTTGCATACCATCTGGTTCAGAATAAATAAGTTAAACATACATACATTACATTCCTGCTGTCAGTTCCCTTTCAGGTGAGTCCACACCAAGTTCTGCATTCAATGTGCAAGAAATCAGTTATCTATATAGCAGAAAGTAGCGATCGAGTCAGCTTGTAAACAAACACTTGGCCTTCTCACCACAACTAAAATCTCTGAGACCACAGCTCATTTACATGACAGCCAGAGGGCATATTGTGTCACCTATAACTGACATGCCCTTATCACGCCGTCATGAGATAAGCTATTGGTGAACCACTATCACATTAGGCGCTCAGCTTCACTACTCTGGAAACAGACCCAGCCTCCTATATTGTGGATGTTGCATAGCAACTGCATCAGTCTTTTCAGAAAACATTCAGGAGAAAGAAACAAACTTAGGAATGCAGAACCTGCCTGTTTCCCTTATGAATATAGATTTAAATTTTTAATTAAACTTTTCTTTGTAAAATATTGATTTCAAACTAGACTATGCTGAACAACTGGGACTGCAGTACGGCTCTGCAAACACTCTTTTATGGTCAGAGCTAAGCTGCATTTCTTACCACAGTGGTTGACTCATCCACGATTCCCTGTCTACTTTTTCTGCAGTTATAAATCAAACCCATTAAAGACCAACACCGGCAAAAGAAGTGATGCAGTATATTGTAGCAAATTGCTCTGTGGGACTGAGATATAGAATCAGTATCGTTTAGAATTACATCAATAAATCAAAGAAAATGAAAAGTGGCAACTGTAAATGTTCCTGCTCTAAAAAAAAAAAATTAATTAAAAAGTACAATGTGATTACCTTCACAATTAACCAGAAAAAACACGAAGAGTTGAGCTGACCATGACTTTGAGGTTCTGTTGCCACTATAAAATTACAGGTGACAACTAGACAAACATGATTCTATTTTATCAGCATTGCTTGGCATTAAAAAAAAAAAAAGAATTTCCATTTGCCTTTTATTCTTTTCAGAGAAATAAATACACGACACGTCTCCAAAAAAAGACATGATGTCATTCATGGGGTCATTAACCTTCATCAGTCAGTCACTTCAACCTGAGGCCCACTGAAGTGTAGAAATCCTTTGAAAATACAGCATTAACCCATTTAAACCAGCCACTTTTAAACAACTGACCAAAACAACCAAATATGGCAAACTATCATGATCACCTCAAATAAGTACAACTGTACTGCTTTATGATAAACGTATAGATTTTTTTGTGTCCAAATGTGACTGAACAGTGGTCTCAAAGAGGCGAAGCTCCAAATTATAATGAGCTGTGACAATTTGACATGTTGCATAATGATTTTCTCACAGAGAGTGAGGTGCCGTAACTGTAAAGTCTAAGCTTACAGCACATGACGACAGACAAAAATTGCACGTGCAAATACTCAAGCTCTCAAACAACAACATGTTGTGAGAGCATGCCCCCTCCATTTAATCACAGCGTTTCACTAATATACAGGTTCACCAATACCAGGTTCCGGCCCCCATTTTAGCCCTGCTCCACCAAAGGCTCCAAACTCTACCGAGTTCTCAGTGCTCCAGAACATAAAACAGATTTGTTCAAAATGGAAATTATTTATCAAAGTCAATTTAATCATTAAAAAAAACAGAATTCTCTTGCATAACCATTTTCAAAGTTTTTCTTTTCCCCCAATGTATATTTTACAAACAGCCTGATAACACCTCAAAGCTTTAAATATTTTTCTAAACATCTGTAACAAACTAATATGATTGCAGGATGATGTCACTTTTGCAGAACCTCTAGAAAAACTGCAAAAAAAAATACAATTGAGACATGCATCCCGTTAAACCACAGCACAGCCATTGGCATGTCAGACAAAACCTAAGTGCAAAACCTATTTTCCGTCTGGCAGGAAATTGCTTCTAAAATTGAAAATCTAAACTCTGTACACACTGTAGATCTGGATCAGTTAAAACATGGGCCATAAAAATGTCTGCTTTTTAAACAATACCTTTTAAAGAACTCTAGATGCTTTCTCACTCATACGGGTTTTACTGCACTATAATATCCAGGGGGAAAAACAATACCTTTCACTTCACCTGGAGACTCTGTCACCACGGTCTTTTTTACTGCGTGTTGGAGGAGAGGTTCCGACAGAACCCAAGACCCGGGTGCTTTTCCTATCATCACCCACATATAGTCAGCCGCAACAATGTTTAACAAAGTTTCCCTCGGGCCTGGCAGCAGTAAATGCTTTAATGTCTGATAGGGGCTGCAGACTACATCACATCTCATTTCACTTGGCTCAGTAAAATACTTAAAAGAGGCCAAGCTTTACAACACTGTCTCGCACACTTTGTGCAGTCATTAGAGAACAGCAAGCTGCAAGACCTGATATGTCATACCATGCGCTATTTTCTGATAGTCCTTAATTACAGACGGTAACACCAAAAAGTGTCTTTTAAAAAGCTACAAAATCATTAAGAGCTGGTATCCAACAGGCTGTTTGATGTTTCTGAGAAAACTCGGGTGCTTTTCTTAGCTGCGCAGCCAACTTGTCAGAGACTAAATGGCTGAATTTTCCATTACAAATGTAACCCTTGAGGCTTTCTTCCTGTTTGTGTTAAGCTACCTCCAGCCATTAGTCTAGCTGGATCACTGGCCACCATATGGCAGCCGAACCCCAGTTTGGCTTAGTCATGTCAAATAGGCATGTCAAATAGTTTAGGAGACGCAGACGTATGCAAGGGAACTAAATCATCTAGAAAGGATCATCATTTTAATAAACTCTTGAATGTCATTAGTGCCAAGTTATATAATGCCAACCAGATGAAGGCGGTCAATGTGTTGGTATGGGGAAAACAGCGGAGTGTGAAGACGGGCTAACACGGTCGCAAAATGACAGAACCAAACGTGTGACAAACAAAATGTCACACATGCCCCGTGAAACACTGAGATCTGTTGCGAGGCTTTGTGGTGTAGCAGTAACTGTCAGACGCTTTGTCTGAGCGGCAAAACTGATCTTTGGCTTGCATGGCCACTTTCTGAACCAAGACTTCGTGTCAGCCACCCTCTTCTCCACATCTCCCTGCTCATTCTCTGTAACTATGGAGTAAAAAGAAACAAATACATCAAGCTACAGATGTACATGTAACATACACAATCTAAAGAAGAAATACAGCATTGCATAATTTTTCCAAAAAACTATCGTATTCGACCCAAAAACAATGAAGAGTTCAAGGCAGAGAATTCCATTTTTAAAAATCGGTTTTCTTTTTTTGTGCTAGATCAGGTACTATCAAGCCAGTAAAATGACAGGAAAACAACTCTCCTTGGTGTACTTTCATGTCTCTGCTCAAATGTTTTTGCTTTCCTAAAGCCAAGCAGTGATTGTTTATTGCAGCTAAAACTTGGGTAATAAATCACACGCAGACTGAGCTCCTATGTTAAGTTATATCATGATTACACTGCTCATTGTGCTGATTTTTTTATGTATTTGGGTTATTAGTCCCTTTAGCTGGTGGGAGTACTCTGCCAGGCACCACCACTGTGACCTGAGTAATAAAAGAAAATCATTTTCAAGTATATGACGATCTTCACTGAGGCAAGTTTTCTCATTAAACCCCAATGATGTGAATGTCATTCATCTTTAAATTAGGCCACTTCCCAATCACTATTTGTCTATCGTGCCATTTTATGTTAATGTCATCCTCAATATAGGTCAAATCTGCGGCGTGTGTCCACAGGAATGCCACATTTCGTTTCAATTCTTGACAAATTAATACTTTTTCTCGCATTAGCTGAGCTCTTCGTGCAGCAGGACACCACCTGTTTGGCTCGAAGCCTCGACGTCTGTTTGTTTTAAACACACTAGCCTTGTGAATTAGCTAGCTAAACACGACAGAGTCTGGCATTAAATGAGCTGCGTGAGTCTTATCTTACCTTTCCACGGGGTGTTTGGGCTCCTGTGGGCTCTTGGTTCCGTGGAACATAAAGGCGGCCGTTTATTCACGCCGGTATAAGTCCGTGAAAGTGGCTTTCCTGCATTTAAATCCCCAAAACTGTGTACTGACGCGAGTGTCAACAGCTTCAAGTTAAAAGAATGACCTGCGAAATGAAGGGTGAGCCCCGAAACACCACACTACCACAGCTGGGGCTGCTCCTCTGGCGCCTTGTTGCCTTCTTTTGTCTCGTTTGGAAAAGAAACTGTGAGATAAACTAAGAATTTGAATTTTTGGAGTATACCTCTGCCTTTTCCTGGCGAAGCGGGCGGGCGCACGACCGGAGGAGCGGCTGGGCTAATTGAAGGCAAAACGAGAAATTCTTCTTCTGTCCTCCGACGCAGGCGAGGCGCGCGCCGGATGAGGCATGATTGTTGCGCGCCCTCGACAGCTCATGCGCGTTCGCGAGTCAGACAATCCGTGGCCGTGGGAGTGAACCGCAATAAGGAATAATTCATAGGAAAAGGTTGGCATTTAGGCAAAGCTTCTGCTCCCGAACGTATCAGTAATGCTTTGTACAAAAAAAAAAAATATATATATATATATGTATCTGCATGAGCATGAAGAGCATATTTTTTTAGACTCACTTGAATAAGCTCATTAAAAATTAAACTCGTTGGCCATATTGATGGATTGATTGAGGTATGTTGTTGGAGCTAGGATATGATAACCTTCATTACGCCATACCTTCATTTCTGTAAGGACTGTTGCATTGATCTCCGTGCACTGATGCAGGTTATGCCTACTTCCTCATGAGTAATTCATGCTCCTTTAAATGGGCCTTTTCATTGACATTATATGACTCGTTACATAAGACTCCAACCCGGATAATTCAGTTAGAGCGGCTTGCTTTCCCGCAGGGCTGAGATTGTTCCCAGTGGAAAAAAACTAAACGAATAGGCCTTCCATGTAGGAAAGACACAGAGAGGCCCCTGGTGTATTGTTTTTTTTTCCCATGACTATAAGAATCATTCATTTTATTTGTTCGGATGGTCAACAAACAATCACCTGCTTCCCACTGATTTAAGAGAGACCATACACCCAGCCAACACCACACCTGAGGTCTCCCCATTCACAGACAGTCAGGCTGCTCTTTGAGAAGAGCCTCCTTAAAACAACACACACACACATACACACACGCACACACACACACACACATAAACACACACACTTCAAAGAAGAACAAAGAAGCAGGAGTCTCACAGCTGATCCAATCAATACGTTCAGTCCCAGAAGCAACAGCATGAATCATCAATATTCAAAGGACTTTAATCCAGGCAGCAACTGAAAAACAAAGTTTTGTCCAAAATAAAATGAGTCCGGACTGCTTTATCACATAGCAAATTATTCACATAACCACATCTGATGTTGGATTAGGATTGAGCTGAGTGTCTGAAAAGAAATCAGCCATTCGATATTTGTTAGTGGGTGTGATGGTGCATGGAGGCAAAGCCTCTTAAAGATATTTTATTTTTCTACAATGAATTAACTAATACTGTCATTAAAACTGGACAAGGGGAGAGAGCTTGAGCTTGTGGGATGCTAGGTGACCTGGAAGTAAAAAGTAACAGAAGGCATTCCCGCCCACTGGCTCCATGGGCACCAGGCAGCCCCCACTCTGAACCGCACAACCCCACATCACACAAACACAGTCGCAGCAGCTCTTTCATAATGAACACTCTTTTAAATGTAAGGCTGCTGTACTCCTTTAGAGGCGGTATCATCTCAGATTGACGTCTGTCTGCGCGCGGAGGTTTGTGTACCTTGCAAGAAACGGTGGCCAAATTTTAGTACCAGCCCCAGTGAGGTCTTTTGTGGTAGAAAAAAAGAAGGAGGTTACAGGCCAGACAGAGTGGCCCATTACCGGCTCATCTCCGTAAGGGAAGTCCTGCTGGCTACTGGCCCAGTATCACGGTGTGGTTGAAAGTAGGGCTTGTGTCTCTGCTCAGCGACGGTGAGCAGAGACACAAACAACACAACTTTTGTCCAAAAAAGGCAAACATTGATTTTTTTTTTTCTTCACCCTTTCGCGTATGAGGTTGTCTTTGCACATCTACCGGCAAAAGCTCGACGCAAGCTCTCCCTCCAACAAATATCGACAAAATGAACCGCACCGGTGGAGTCGAGGTGGAACGTGCACACGGTTTCGGCCTGCGTTTTGTCTCGGGGAAGGGAAGCCACATCTGCCAGAACATGACTGACGAGGCATTCCTCAGCCGTGAGCACAAGTGGAGGGAAACGCAAAGGAGGTCATTCTGTGATGAAAGGCAGGAGGTTTCTGAATGCCGTCTGGCTTCATCATTTATCCCTCCTTCCGAGTCCTTAATGGCTTTTCTGCCGCGCCACAGCATCATTCATAACTGAAGCACAGCAGCGAGGGCTGGCTGATTTAAATGCACTGACATTAGCGGAAATATGATGAGCGTTTTGCCCTCATTCATTATTCCTATTCTCTGTGGGAAAAGCTCAACATGGAGCCTCTGCTTTCCTTTCTGTCTTTAGCGTGTCAAGTTTATACTACAGGTCACGTCAAAAGGCACGGAGGCTAGTTTAATGTGATCCTCTAACGGTGAACTTTAAAGTGTACCTTATTTTTTGTTGTCGCTACCTGGTAAAGGATTTAGAAGAGACATTTTCTCTGATAATATCATCTCTTCCATTTTAAGCCTGATCTTCTTCCACATAAGTAACCATGGTTACCATATTATGTCTCTACTTATAAAAGCCAGCTGCCACCAGCTGAAAGGGCTGAAGACAGTTGTGAGGGATGAGAATGAATAGTTTCTGAATGCTCTCCGAACAGGGCCGGTCTGGCATGCCTTTGCACATGTTGGATATAAGGCAGACGCTTTTCGATGAGGTCATGTTTCCCAGAAGTCTTGTCTTGCCTTCTGAAATGCATCCTGTCCCTCCCGTATTGTGTTCTCCCTCCCTGTGCTCTCCTTCTCCCACAAGATGCCTCCACTTCACAAGGGTTAAAAATAGATTTATCCCCCCGGTGCCGCTCGGGCCCAACTTTATTTTCAAGGGGGAAATGAAAAGCACACACACACACACACACCACTGGCTGGAGGTTCAGAGGGAAAAAAAAACAAAAAAATAACCTTCAAGATGCAATGACAAACCAGATTCTGTGTGTGTGAGAGAAGCAGTCAGTGGAGGAGCACATGCCCAGAGAGAGAGACATTTACCATGGCTAAAGACCTGTGTCCCTTTGTGTTTTTCACTGAGAACACTCAGCTTTGTTTTCGGCCTCAAACCATTGACCATGTGCTTCAGAGGAGTGAAGTGTTCATTCTCTGGACCAGTCAGGGACCCAAAGGAGGTCTCGAATGACTTAAAAATAGAAGCAAACAAAACAAAAACACACACACACACACAAAAAAAGAAAACCTGGCAACTTGTACATTTTGCCTTTTTTTAAGGCTGGAAAATAATCACAGCCTACAGTCTTGACTTGGCAGGATGCATATTGATATTTTACTTGTCCAGTCAATTGCTCCCATCTTACCAGGCAACCAGACAGTGGGTTTCTTCTTTTAGTTCTGTTTTCTTTATCAGACAGCGAGTACTCCTTATATCTGTTCGGTGGACAAAAGCAGCAGAGTGGGTAGATGATAGAATGGAGGACAGGATAGAAGGATGGGGACTAAATGAGCAAGAGGCCGACACTGCAAAGGAATAGAGACGGATGAGAAGATGACACAGGCTGGAGTCAGAGTGTGACAGACATGCAGAGGAGGAGTGCAGAGGAAGGAGGGGGCAGGGATGCAGGAGAGTTTCTAGTTGAGTCAAAACCCCCGAGCATCCCTGATTTCTCTGTGACAGACACAGTGCTGGAAAGATGCCCAAGACAATGACATCATCATCAAACTAACAAGGACACGAGGCAGGAGCCTAAGACTCACACTTGGATCTTTTATGCAGTTTTATTCAACCCACTTATTCATCACTTTGCACAGATATTAACATGAAGTCTTCATACTTTAAGAGGTCTGGCAGACAAAATAACTCTCTTCCCTCTATAGACAGTCAGACCAAGACTTTTTGCACACAAATTAATTTAAATTCTCCCTAAATCAAAATATGTTATCTTGATTTTACAATATATAGCATATATATACTGTGTATGTATATATATATATATATATATATATAGTTTGCACAGCTACAATTTGACACTTTAGTGTGAGGCAGGAAAAATTAATCACCCGTTCAGGTTCAACAAGAGGCTACAATCACAGTGCAGGAGAGAAGGTTCTTAGTTCCTTCATACTGTGTATATATAGATATGTCGTTATATATACATATCTATGTCTATACTGAGAGGAATGGATGTAATATTGTTGCAGGTGATATTTCTGTGGAGCTGACGTGTCACTGCTGGCGCCCCTTCTCTGCCTCCCGCTTGGCTTTACTCTGGAGGTAGCGTGCTTTGCCCTCATCGGAGCGTCTCTGCTCCTCCTCTCCTTCGATCTGAAAACAGAAAAGTTGTGCATTCAGACACGTCTTTCATCGATGCATAATTGTGTGCAGGTATGTTTCCTCTGCTGTTATTATTCTGCCCGCGGGCCTGAGGCTGATCTAATTTACAGCTACAGTAACTGTCATTCATCATCTTGGTGAAACACAGAAGTCAACCCTGAATATGGAGAGGCCCTTCATTGCATGCTAAGTGTGCAGAAGAGTGGGTTTGAGCAGCGCTGAATGAAACAACAAGATTTGGGACACAACTGCTGTTTAAGGACTGTAACTGTGTGACCATAAAAGGAAAAAAACATGAAAATATATTGATTTGACCAGGTTTATAAAGTAAAACGCACATTCTGTCCCCCCATTTCTAATCTCTTTAATCATTGTGAAGCTCCACACGTGCACAAACCTCAGCCAAAAATTAATGTGATTTATCCCCCATTTGGTAAGAGTATTGTTTTTACCAAGACAAAAGTAAAAAGCTTA